CAATAAAAGAACACCCCTTTTTGGGACTTTGTCTCAAAAGGTTTGTCCCTTACACAATCGCCTGATCCTTTTTAATTGTTAGCGACTTAACTCGCGCGAAACAAAGTGAATGCTAAAATAATTATGGTATTCAATAGGATTTGAATTTCAAACCTTGCGGATTCGACACTTTTCACTTCATTACTATATTACAAATTTGACACTGTACACTTGCGACATAATCACGTTATATAAAATGCGGGACAATATCAACAGTTGCTGGGATGGGACGAAGTATCCTGATATCGACAACTGCTATGGGAGTCAAACCTCGGAGGGCTTCATTGGCTTTGACTTCTTTTGTTATTTGAAATTGCATGTGTATTTCCAAATTCCTAGATCATGGCCCTTATATGGCGCGCTCTTCTCCTTGAGTTGTATATTACCTTGTTAGAATGAGGCTTCTGTGTATCCAGCAGTGAATGACCTTCAAAAGGTCCAAACTATAATGGGATGTCCTTGTGATGAGAAGATTCTTCTGCCCCATTCACACTCATTTCAACCATATTGGCCAGAAAATGAGAATTGCAAAAATTAAAAAAAAAATTAAAAAAATGCCAAATTGATTTTACCATGTGGTTTTGAATTATGCATCCACCACAGATTCACACAGACAACCAATCTATTGATCTAAATAATTGATAGGGCCTTGTTGTCAATGGATCTCTAAGCACATCCTTGATGACATGTACGTTACCTGCGTGTCAGGATACATCATTAGCTCTAGGATCAACAAGCCAAAGGAGAAAAGGGACATCGATCATTCGTACTTCGAAGATCAAGTCAACCGTCTGTAATAATTGTAAAGAGGGAGTTGGTATGGTGGAAACAAACAAGTAGAGATATGGCTAAAGTTTCGATATGAAGATTACAGAGCACATTTACCTTTACCCACATGTATGTATTTATAAGAAAAAGATTCTTGAGGATCAAGTCATAGAGCGTGTAGCCCTAATCCACATTTCATGCTCTCATTGGTTCGTCTAACCCGCCTCCAATTATGTTTTTTCCTTGTCCAATTGGATTTTTATTTTATTTTTGTTTTTGGTAGAGATAGCTTAAAAAAGACCTTTCCTCGATCCTTGAAGATCCTGAATAATTGAATAGAACTTTAGGAACCTGACAAGATAGTTTTTCCTCGTTAAAGATTTCCTTACCAATATAGGTGAAACTGTGAGGCTGCTTCGCCCAAGGCCATTGACCATAAGTGTGTTGTAACTTAAAATTAAGTTTTAATCTTTCAACAATTAACCTATTTAATTTCAATTTTTATTTATTTAATAATCATTTTTCACACAATTAAAAATATCATATTCATGTTATAACCTCCATTTTAATGACTTAATTGTGGGAGTTGATTTACACCTATAAAAGGTGGTTACATCTCATTACAAAGGATTATTAGAACATAGTAATTTGGAATAAAACATTTTATATAATTTATGATATATTCTTATATTTTGGCAATTCGATCAAAGGCTCGTTCTTGATCACCCTATGGTAGTGCCCATAGAAGGAGAGCTACATGAGTTTTATCTTGGAGCCGTGTAGTGTCGAAAGAACCCGCAAGAAGGGAGGCAACACGACTTTAGGACAGCGTCCTCGACGTGACTCCCAAGACTTGATTTTCTAACCTTCTTCTTATTTTTATATTATTGTTGAATTTA